ACACACACACACACACACACACACACACACACACACACACACACACACCCTTCTGATATGACATCGTGATTTGACACGCCCTTCTCAGGACTAGGGAAGCCAGTGGGATGGCTCCTCAAAACTGCTTGTCCTGACCTGTCCTGAGTGACCAGAGCTGGATCCTTCACGCTAAGCACTGTGGTGTAATCCTCAGCACTCCTACTTGGGAACGGCCACATCTCACACATCATCTGCATCTGCAATGAACCCCAAGAGGCAGGTCACAGCTCAGAAGGCGGCCTCCTGCCTAGGGCTTCATTTCACAATAAGCCTTTGATAACTTAAGGCCACACTTTGACTACTCTTGGAGGCCTCTTGGCTCCAAGACTGGCAGGCTGTCAGGGTGGAAAGCCCCGTGAGCTTACACGAGCCTTCCCTCCCAGGACAAGAATGTTCTCAGAGCCCAGATGTTCACAGCTTCCTCTGGATAAAAGTAGCCTTTGGATACAATTCCAGGGGTTGGGAGCCCATCCCAGGAATCTCTGAAACCTTAGCATGGCTCAGTATGCATCCTGAATTAAAAAAGAAAAAGTCATTAGACAATGCATAGACCTAGGCCAACATATGTATTTCTTTTACTGAGTCTACACAGGTCAATGGAAAATTCAAAATTAATTTTCTCTCCTGCCCACTGGGCCCAGCTATGTATGTTACTATTCAGTATCACTAAAAGTTATTCCGAGTACTTTCAAAGTATTCTGTTCATGGTAATTAGCCTTTGTTAGAAAATGCAGCTAAATGAGATGTGTGTTACATATTCAACAAGTGATGGGATATTTACTTTTGAGCTATTTAATATAGGCCAGGGATGAGTGTATATGAACTCACCAAATTAACTAGATGCAAAAAGTACCACATTCCACTTCTTCAAATTCCGATGCAAAAGTAAACCCCAGGGGTAAGTCAAGAGACTGACAGAAACCAAGTCTGTTTCACTGAGACCAGAACATAAGGTTCTACTTACCTTGCCAGTGACAAACTGAGTGATTTCTGCCAAGTGTCTAAGTAATAGAGATCCCACCTTTAACCCCCCCACCCCCATAGACGTGCTGCCAAGGTCATTCTATTTTTTAAATGACTTTTTTTATTTTAATTCTATGTGTACGAATGTTTGCCTGCGTGAATGTAGGCACACCACATGTGTGCAGTCTCCTGGAGGCCAGAAGAAGATGCTGTATCCCCTGGGACTAGAGTTTCAGGTGGTTATGTGCCAGTGTGCGGGTGCCTGGAACTGAACCCAGGTCCTCTGCAAAAGCAGTAAGTGTTCCTATCCATTGAGCCCATTTCCCCAGGACCCTCAGGGTAATTTATTAAGCATTTCACATGCCTCAACCACATCTTACCTTTATCCTGGAGGTTTTTACTTTAAAAAAATGAAAATGATGTGTTAGGAGAAACAAGATTGTGGTTGACTTTCTTTTAAATGTAAACATCCTCTAGGCATCATTTAAGGTCTTCCAAAACTAGAATACAAGTGGCAGGCAGGTGGCTGGAGACCCTCAATAGTACCTGGGTACCAAGCTGTGGCAGTAACACAGCAGGAAAGGATGCTGGGTAATCTCCACTAGGAACCTGACTAGAAAATGCAATTTATATTCATTAATAATTCCTAAGTTTAATGAGATATAAACAATAAGTGAACAACTCAAAGGATTGTTATTTGTATTTCTTTTTAAAATATATTTTATTCTTTGATAATTTCACACAATGTATTTTGATCATATTAACCCCTTATTCCCTAATTTGTCCTAGATTCATCCTCTCTTCCCTACCCATGCAACTTCACCTTTTCTTTTAAATCCACCGTCCTCCAAGAATGAAACATTTCATCCTGCAGGAAGCTCCTTAAGCAAGAAGGTAAAGGACTCAAAATAGCTTCAGAAAGTCCCGAAACCATGTAGATTTACTAAGCTCCTCTCTGCCAGAGTAATCAATAACAGCGTGTCCCTCTTAGACAAGCTAAGCTTCGAAGAAGACTCTGAGCCCAGAGCCCCTGTCTGGAAGACGCTTAGACCAGAGGTGCTTGGAAAGAACACTCGCCAACCTGTTGAGCTCCCTGCAGACCGTGCAGGGTCCTTCAGTTTTCCTAGTTTCTTTGAGCCTTCACCCATGCTGGGGTGAGCCTTGGTGGTTCAGTCATCTTTGAGTCATTTCCACTCCTGTAAGTAATTCTAATAAAAGTCAGTGGTTCACCAAGTTAGACTTTGGGGTGTCCATACTTCGGTTGGTCACGGGCTCCGGATCTGCAGTGAGTAGGCTCAGGTGCTGAGTCTCCTAAGGATAAGTTTGTCACACAACACCCGTCTAGTGTGTGTTGCCCCACTAGACTTGGGAGTGGGACTTATCTTGTAATGTCATCTACCTACCAGGGTCACGCAGTTAAACACAACAAAAAACAAAACGAACAAACAAAAAATCAAAAAACCTGACTCTTTCTCCCATCAGAAGATGCCAGCAGATCCTCAGCTGAAGATGAGATTACTTTGTGTCTAACCCCCCTTTCTGTATTGAGATTTTGCCTTGAGCTTTCATGGGTTTTGTGTACTCTCTCACAATCCCTGTGAGTTCACATGGGCAACCATCCTGTTTTGTCTTTGAAGCATCACGACTTCTGGCAACTTCTCTTGGAATCTTTCTATCCCCTCTTCCTCAACGCTTCCTGAGCCGGAGGGAGAAAGATGTGTTAAGGGCATCCCATACGGGGTCTCACTATGTAAAACCTTGGCTGGCCTGGAACTCAACCTAGAGACTAGGATGACCTCAAACTCACAGAGCTCTGCTAGCTGTTGCCGCACTAGTACTGAAAATCCAGGGTATGTGTCACCAAATCTGGCTCAAGAATTTTTTATAAATTGACATTATTCCCTTTTATGATCCAAAACGTGACAAGATTTATATTATTTCTCTCATGAGCACTGGAAGTTGCTGGGAAAGCTCTCACTCTAGTCACTATAAATGTATATATATATATATATATATATATGTGTGTGTGTGTGTGTGTGTGTGTGTGTGTGTGTGTGTGTGTTGTCTTTGTGACAAAACACATGACAAGCAGGGGTTTATCTTGACTCAGAGTTTCAAGAAATATAATCCATTGTGTTGATAAATGCCAAGCCCAACCCCACTTTTAGAAAAGATCCATGTTTTAAAATTCAAGTCAGTTTTTCCATTCTTGGTGATTATGCTTATAAGGCAACCCACATTCTAGTGTGATGTGTAATCTCCTCTGGAAAATGCAGTCTTTAATCAAAGGTTTATCAGGGCTGAAGAGACAGGTCAGTGGTTAAGAGCACGGGCTGCTCTTGCAGAAGATCTGAGTTTGAATGCCAGCACCTACATGGCAGCTCCCAATCCCTGGTAACCCTAGTTCCAGGAGCTCCAGCTCCCTCTTCTGGCCTCTGTCGGCACTAACCACACAAGAGATGCTCATGTATACATGCAGGCAAAACATCTGTACACATAAAATGAAATAATTAATACACACACAGTCCTTGCTTGTCTAGCTTTCTTATACAGCCCATCTACCTAGACATGCCTAGATTACCCTGACACAACAGTCTACGCTTTCTTCCATTGGTTAGCAATCAAGAAAATGCCCCACAGACTTGCTTACAAGCAATCTGATGGAAGAATTTTCTCAGCTGAAATTCCCTCTTTCCAGATGGCCCTCGTTTGAAGTAAACTAACAGGAAACTAACCAATAAAACATCTTTCAACATAGTTACTTTAACTGTTTGTCTCTGGCATGGCTCTCTAGACACACTAAGGTCCAGATTAAACATCTTTTTTGGATCTTTATAAGAACTGAGAACCCCTTATTAACCACTAAGACCTCCGTACACTCACAGTTCCCCAAGGCTCTTTTCCCTTTTCCTAAGAGAAATTTGGTTTCCTGTGGATGAGATCTTCCTAGCCCACTCTCAACCCATACCTCTGTTCCTCAAATACAACTGAGATCTACTTTCCTGGAAATGTTCTGTTTGTCCCAAGTCCACCTTGAAAGGACTCTGGCCAGCTCAGCTCTGGCAGGCCTTGCCCTTCTCCCCATTTCCTCTGCTTTGCAAAATACTGTTAGATTACAATCCAAAAGCTAGCCTCCAAGGTCTATTCCCTTATTTGGCCACTTCCTCCTCCTGAGGCAGACTACCAAGGTCTAGCTATCAAAGTATTGAAGTCAGGAAATCAAAAGCCCCCTTTAGTTCATCTAATTAGCATGCTCAATCAAAATATATCCTGGCTGCATCCTAGTCCATTCTAACACAGACTTCCCCTTTTCTCTTCTTAAAAATTATACCGGCAAGGTCATCTGCTGCTGTTACTTTTTTCTGCCTGAGTCAGAAAGCAGCCATTTTAACTTGTCATCCCTGCTTAACAAAGGATCTCTCCGTGAAAACAGGTGTTTGGGTGTGGTCTGTGCCTAATCCACAACTCTGGAGGGAAACCCCACTCTGCTTCACACCTTTCATACTTAAGGGAACAAACTGAACAGACCTCACTTACACGTGGTATTTCTCTCCCCCGTTGTAGTCTCCTAAA